GGGGCAGAGGAAGCGCACGGTAGGCGAACTCAGCTGGTGGGAGGAGATGCTACAACTGTGACACTCCGAACTTTACTCTGGAATAAATTCCTAACTGCCCTGTTCGGAACGTCGTATGCAACGCGAAAATTTGGTCATTTTTAGATAACTGCCGAGGAGTAAGACGTGGAACTAACCAAAAGAAAAGTCGGGGAAAAGTCGTTCAGCAAAAGGGGAGTAGGGTGCTAATTAGCCTCCAATAAAAGGTAGTGATATAGGGACCAGTTTTGAGTTTATGTAAGTGCTATCAATTCTTCTAGATAGACACCAGTTTGAGTTTATATAAGTGCTATCAATTCTTCTTTCTGTCTGGGGACCTGCTGTCTTGACCTTGCGATCTCTAATGTCCGATGGGATCTGAAATAAAAGAGTGCAGTAAGATTTCGATTTGATGCCTAACAATTTGCCTACAATAAAACTTATTAACAACCTTTTTGAATTTTCAAGCTTACGAATTTAACATGGCGCAGCCAGCAGAGAAAAAAGGAGGGGGGAAAATCCATTAAATATAGTAGCATTTTGGGAAACACGAACGCCGGAACCTCCAGTATATTGGGAGGAGTGGATAATTAAATTCCACTGGGGGATGATAGCAAAATACGACATTGATCCCGATGATTTCTATTTTGCGAGTACTCTAAATGCGGCGGCTATCACGGCGTTGCCTGAAGAAGTCAATGGAAAAAACCGTCTCGATTCGGAAAAGAAGTTAAAGTCTAACTTGTATCTTTGTATCGGAGATGAGGCGCAACGCATATTCAAAGCACGGAAACCGACGGTTAACATTAAAACGGAACGGTACCCACGGGTCCTGGATGAGATGCAAAATGTTTTCCAACGTGAGAGGAATGTAACTCATGAGCGGGGACTATTCTACGGACGAAAACAACGTGAGAACGAAATTTTCGAAAAATTTCATGCGGAGCTAAGTGCCCTAGCAGGAAGATGTGATTTTGCAAACGCGGCCGAAAACGTTCGGGATATTTTCATTATGAATATGCGGGAATCGGATTGCCAACGAGAATTATCACGATCAACTAAGTTACCGGAGGAAGATTACCGGATCGCCTTATCATATGAACGTGGTGAGCGCGCATACAAATCATATACGGGAAAACCAGCTTCATCAGCTCCAGCAATTTCAATAAAACAGGAACCAGTAAATAATATAAGAAGGGACAAGGTTTTTTTTCGAGGCCGAGGACGTGCGGGACGTGGAGGATATACCCAAGGATCAAGTAGTAGTGGGGGAAGCGGAAATAACCGTGGGTGCTACAATTGCGACATGCCAAATTTTACCCTGGATCACATCGCGAGCTGTCCTGCAAAAGGAGCAACATGTAACTCATGCCGAAAACTGGGACATTTTGAACAAACATGCCGAGGAATTAGAAGGGGTACTAACCAATGGAGAGGACGTGGACGAGTTGGATTGGCCAGGGAGGAAAATGAGCATCATCAAAGTACGCAGAACGTAAATGAATTGAATGAAGACCCAGTATCGTGGGTGAATCAGCAGGGGTGTGGGGAAAATGAATCCATGACGTCGGGATCGGATGACTACATGGTAATGTCGATAAAAAGGAAGAAAAATGAGACTGAATTAAAGATCCCTGGGGCCCGCGTTCAAGTGAAGGTGTCAGGGAAGAAGATGTGGTTGTGGATAGATAGTGGATCTCCAGTGACTATCTTTAGCTTAAACGACCTAAAAACAACGTTAGGAAAAGCAAATATTCAACTACAACCGTTAAAAGAGGAATTTCTGGATTACAACAACAACCAAATAAACATACTAGGGAAGGTAACAGTGATGATGTCACTAAATGGCTGGGCAGCACCAGCACAGGTGTCACTAATATCCGGAAATCATCAATCAATCCTTGGGCGCGACCTGATGGGCACCCTCGGTCTCGAGCTAGTTCAAAGGAAGAAAATGAAGGGAATCACAGGGGAAGGGACCAGTCAAGAGGAGGAGGAATACGACGAATTGCAAACATACTTCTATAAGTTGTACCCAAATTTATTTACTAGGATAGGGAAGATCCGGAATGCGAAAATAAGATCTGAATTTTTTGAAAATTTGAAGCCCATACAACAAAAAGGGCGTAGGGTGCCAATCAGTCTACAAGAAAAGGTGGATAGAGAGATTCATCGGCTGATAAATGAAGGACATATCATAAAATTACAAGAGTGCTCAGATAAGTATTTCGTCTCTCCTATCGTCATTACAGTAAAAAAGGACGGAAGCATAAAATTAGCACTAGAATCAAGAGAATTAAATAAACAGGTACACAAAAATAAGTACCAAATGCCAAATATTGATGAATTAATTGACGGAGTAAGTCAGATTATCGCGGAGAAAAACTCGGGGAATGTATACTTTACAACATTGGATTTCACATATGCGTACGGACAAGTCGCATTAGAACAAAAAACAAGCGAGCAATGCAATTTCTCACTAGTCGTCGGAAAATCCACGGGGATTTATCGTTTTAAAAACGGATTTTACGGACTTACTTCAATGCCGGCGGAATTCCAGAAGGTAATAGATAATTTACTTAAGGAGTTCCCCCAGGCCAACGCGTTTATTGATGATATCTTAATTGCTTCAAAAGGAACTAAAATCGAACACATTGCGTTAGTGGAAAAGATATTTAAACAGCTGGACGTCTCCAATGTCGCGTTAAAGTTGAGAAAATGCAAATTTGCGAAAACGGAGTGCGAATGGCTTGGATTTCGAATTGGGGAAAGTGGTATAACGCCCTTAGTAAGAAAAACACAAGCAATAGAAGACTTGAAAACCCCAAAATCTCGAAAGCAGTTGAAATCCTTGATGGGTTCGTTACACAGCTTACACAAATTTTTACCCAAACTTGCCGAGTTAAGAGCACCGTTAAGGCCACTACTGAGCCAAAATAACAATTTTGTCTGGACACCCGTTTGCGAAAATGCGTTCCAACAATTAAAATTGCTTGTGGAAAATTTTTGTCGAATTACGAAATTTCGACATTCACCGTGAAACTAGAATCATTTGTGACGCTAGCCACGATGGCCTAGGGGCCGTCTTAGAACAGTATGGCGCATCCGGGTGGCATCCGATTTCGTTTGCATCTCGTTATCTTAATCCGGCTGAAAAAAAATACTCCACAAACGAATTAGAATTACTCGCGGTAGTGTGGGCCACGGAACATTTTCGGAATTATATATACGGTCGGTATTTCACAGTGATATCTGATCATAAAGCGCTACTTACATTGTTGAATTTGTCACCAAAAGGAAATAAACATTTTTCAGTCGTTTAACTCGATGGTATGATTGCCTGGTGCCATACGATTTTAAAGTTGAACATCGACAAGGGTCAAAAATGGGGATGGCTGACTATCTGTCTCGGTTTCCGTCCGCAGAGGCACCCGAGACAAGTCATTACGACGAAAATTTTACAGTAGCAAAGATAAGAATGATAAACGCGGCGTTGAGGCCCAAGGATAAAATGAAGCCTAGGGGTCAAGAAGTGAACAACATTCAGCGAAAACCGACGGTAGGGGGCGTACAGTCATGTTTCGACACAACGAAAGCAGTTTCATCCAATGAGAATGAAAGAAAAGACGATTATGCAAATATTCACCGTGAGCACAAACGCTCAATAGACATGCAACCGACGGTTAACCAATCAGCGTCGAGATATTTGCATACCGGAGGAAATATGCAAATACCGAAGAACGAGATTCAGACTTTGTTCTCATTGCTTAAATTACAGTTGCAAACACAAAAGATTGATTCAATACTCTCGAAACCCTTCCACTTCAACTAATTACAAGTGCAAGACTTCTGTGTCGAAAATTTACAGTTGCGAACCATCCGTCTTACAAGATTACAGTGAAAAGCCACCTACTTTGAAAATTTACAGTAGTAAAGATTATATTGAAAAGCCAGTTACTTTGAAAAAATAACGAAATAGCAAATCCGAGAGAAATAACATGAGTAATTCGCCAGAAAAGAATGATCCTCCAACTTCGGCAATAGTCAACACATCAACTAATTCGGGAAATGTTAATCTAAATGTTGTGCTGAACAGCCTAGGTCAACCTCCTAGCGTTAGCTCGGATTCCGATATTGAAATGATACCACCTGAAAAACTTGATACCAAACAAACTAATTCTAAAAAACTAAATACCATTATATCTTTTCCACATCAGTTCCCCGGTTTATCGTACCCACTTGTACAAAATGAAAAATGGTGCCATCGGATAGTAAAATAGTGAAGAAAACTGAACACCCGGAAGTTTTGAATTTAAAATTAAACGAAGCAAATATTGAAAAAGACCCAATTGTGAAGACCATCCGAGACAACATCAGAGACAGGAACCCACGAGCAAAGGAGATTATTACAACATTAGGACAATATTACGCCCAGCATTATAACGATTTCGCAGAACGGGAGAATTGCCTGTGGATGGACGGCCGGTTAGCAATACCGAATGACCTATCATCAGCAATTCTGAATCGTCTCCATTATAACCATCATGGAAGGGACAAGATGTTCGCGGCGGCAAAGGACAGGACGTGTGGATTCCACTTATGCACCAAAATATCGCGGCCACAGCCAAATACTGCAAAAGATCCTTAGAAGCAGGTAAAAACCTTAAGCCAGACATTCCGAAAAATGACATGGGGGAAACGTATGATCCTAAGGAACCAAATGATTTGGTCCAATTAGACTTCTGGGGTCCAGTAAACTATGTTAAGGGTCGAAAAAAAATATCTACTTGTAGCAGTAGATACTTTCTCGCATTGGCCGTCGGCGTATGTTTGTTCAAGCAACAAATCAAAAAGTGTATTGAAATTCCTAAGGAAGTACATAAATACTCATGGACACCCAAGGAAATTGCACATGGATCAAGCCACGGGGTTTTTCTCTAACGAAATTCAAAATTTCTGTAACTACGAAGGTATCGAACTTATTAAATCTCCGGTTAGGGACCATCGCGCAATAGGAATGGTTGAACGGACTATTGGGTCGATGAAAAATTACGTTTTGACTTATCTCCAGGAAAATAAAAACTACAAGTTTGGGGAGATGATATCCCGTGCGCTTAGTGCATTACGTTTCGTGCCACACTCTTAAACTAAACTAACGCCGTTCGAAGCATACCATGGTCGAGAAGCAAATACGGCACTGCGAAACTTAACGAAAAAGCCGTCATTGAAAAACCTAAATTGGAACAATGTCGTTAATCAAAAGTTATCTTGTTTAGACAAGGCGGGAAACCTCCCAGAAGTTGAACTTACCCTAGATTGGGAGAAGAGAAGTGACTTAGTGTACGCCCCTCAAAATAGGAAAGCTCCAATCATTTTGGACGATGACGTGGTAACGAATCCCAAGGCTCCGGAAGTTGTGGACCTCAAGGAACTAGGCCCACCCAAGACACCAACATGGCTGAAAAAGCATAAAACAAGTTCAACGACGGTGTATCAGAGGACCGGAAAGACGGATCCAAAGGACCCAAGGCGGTATAAACGTTTGCCATCAAAAATTGAAAAAATGACTAAACATACGGTGCAAATGGAAAAAGGGTCGTTACTAAGGCGGAGTGGTGTGTCTTTTAGATCGGCGGCTGAAGAAAGCCTAATTGGGAATAGAAGCGAGGAGTGCACCCCTGGACCGAGTAGAAACGTAACCAGTACACCGGCGCCAAGCGATTCAAATAAATATAAGCGAAAAGCGGAGAGAACCGAACCGCAATGGAAAATGCAAAAAAATCAACAAAACAGCGAATAGTGGAATACTCGGCGGACGAGAGCGAGGACGACGACGACGACTACGACAGTGAGTGGGAAATCGGACGAAGGGAACCAACCATAGGTGCGGCGAACGAAGGACAGGATGTACCGTCGGTTAGTGTGAACTCACCACGATCCGTCGGTGGAAAACGCAATAAAAATCAGCACGAAACGGCGACGCGAAAATCAACACGGCAGAGACGCGGAGTTGACAAAATGGGGGGGGGGGGGGGTTATGATCCACCGCATAGAACATAAATGAGGGAATCGACAAGAAGAGAAAAAGGAGAAAAGTAAACCTTAAGAGAGGTTTGGCGGGTGAGAAAACTCAACGAAAACTAAAAACTTAACTAGTACATTTATACAATACAAAACAGTAACATAAAGTTGATAAATTTTATCTACGCTAAAATTTATTTGTGGTTGCCCGAATGATATAGGGACCAGTTTTGAGTTTATGTAAGTGCTATCAATTCTTCTAGATAGACACCAGTTTGAGTTTATATAAGTGCTATCAATTCTTCTTTCTGTCTGGGGACCTGCTGTCTTGACCTTGCGATCTCTAATGTCCGATGGGATCTGAAATAAAAGAGTGCAGTAAGATTTCGATTTGATGCCTAACAGTTTGCCTACAATAAAACTTATTAACAACCTTTTTGAATTTCCAAGCTTACGAATTTAACATGGTGCAGCCAGCAGAGAAAAAAGGAGGGGGGTGGGGGAAATCCATTAAATATAGTAGCATTTTGGGAAACACGAACGCCGGAACCTCCAGTATATTGGGAGGAGTGGATAATTAAATTTCACTGGGGGATGATAGCAAAATACGACATTGATCCCGATGATTTCTATTTTGCGAGTACTCTAAATGCGGCGGCTATCACGGCGTTGCCTGAAGAAGTCAATGGAAAAAACCGTCTCGATTCGGAAAAGAAGTTAAAGTCTAACTTGTATCTTTGTATCGGAGATGAGGCGCAACGCATATTCAAAGCACGGAAACCGACGGTTAACATTAAAAAGGAACGGTACCCACGGGTCCTGGATGAGATGCAAAATGTTTTTCAACGTGAGAGGAATGTAACTCATGAGCGGGGACTATTCTACGGACGAAAAAAACGTGAGAACGAAATTTTCGAAAAATTTCATGCGAAGCTAAGTGCCCTAGCAGAAAGATGTGATTTTGCAAACGCGGCCGAAAACGTTCGTGATATTTTCATTATGAATATGCGGGAATCGGATTGCCAACGAGAATTATCACGATCAACTAAGTTACCAAAATATCGCGGAGAAAAAATAATCCACGGACAAAAAGGAGTTGTATCCTGTAGCGTAGGCAATCGAACATTTTCGCAATTAAATATATAGGCGTTCTTCACCGTAGTATAAGATCAGAATGTTAACTTTATAAAACCCCTCTTTGAAAGAAAACAAAACATTTTTTTGTCGACTAACGCAATGGTATGACTGATTACCAACGTACAATTTTAAAAAAGAGAAATATCAAGGTTCAAAAATGGAAGCAGGATTACATGTCGCGGTTCAATCAGTGAGAGGCACTTGCAACAGGCCAGTATCAAGCAACGTTAACATTAGCCAAATCAAGATGATTAACAACGATTTCAATCTGGGGGATCAAGATAAACACGAAAAATCATAGGTGCCAAAAATTTAACAAAAGTAAAAAAAAACAATGATTGAGGGCGTTAGGTAATCAAAACACTCACAAGCAATCGAAAAGTGCTAAGAGATGAATTTGTAAATGACAAACCAAATTCATTGAAGCCGTGAGAGCGCGTGATGTCATGCGATTGGCGCTCAGCGAATTAAAAAAGAGAGATATCTGCATACGGAAGGAAGTAGGCAAATACGTGTGTCCTAAAGTCAGACTTTGTGCTCGAGTTATTACCTTCAATTGTTATTCCAAAATTTCCATTATTTCCACTATCATCTCTCCTGAAAAACCAGAAATTATCAAAAACATATCGAGAACGCTGAAATACGAGAACGCAATCCGTAAAAGTCAATTTCGATGTACAACTCAAAGTCTTACGAGTCAGCACATATTCAGCCTCGGCACATATTCAGATTTTGTAGTTAATTACCCCAAAAAAATACACTCAAAGCCTTGATTGTCTAAAAAGAAGTAACGTTTCCCATCATAACTATCTTTGACCACTAACTTCCAGGGCTCTCGAGCAACCCTCTAAAAACGGAAAATTGGGTCTATTCGGTTTTTGCGGCTCGTAGCCGCCAGGTGCGGAAAATTCATTATCCAGAACTCCTTAACTTTAGACTCGCGGAAGCTAATCTGAAAAAAAACCAATCCTGAAAACTTTCAGTGCCGCGATCCGCGACAATAACCCGCAGGCGAAAGAAAAGCCAACTATGGCCATCATTGTATCGAATTTGCGAACAAAGAACCCTGCATATGGCTGGATGGCTGATGATATTGAACAGGCTCCAACACAATCATGACGGGAGAGACAAAATGTTTGGAATTTTTTAATCCAATTTTTTGAAAAATGCGTTTTTAGTACAGTTGCCTTTTCATCGGTTTCTTTTTGGGTAAAAAAAAGCCAAACTGGTCTTTACTCGAACTAGAAAAATTTTCCAAAAATTTTCTCAGTTTTAGAAATACAATTTGAAACTGCTTAAACTTTTTTTTTTATTTTTTTTTTGTTTTTTGACTTTTTTATTTCAAAAACTCTTTGTTATGCTTATATTACTATGACTAACAAAAAACATACAGTCAATTCTTAGGTCAGATGCTTTTATCAAACCACGCAGAAAAAATTACACGGATTTGAAAAGCTTTCTTAACGACTTTGGTCGGGTAATTCTGTGCTAATTGCACAGTAGAAAGTCTATCTTTGTCAATCAATTGTGTTGGTTCCGTACTCTCATCATCCACCGCGTTTATTCTGTAAATTTATCCGTTTTTTGCCGCTGCAAAAATTTATGTTTTTTTTGTGCGCAGGAATCTGTCGGCCACAGCGAAACCCTGCTAGCGTTTCCTGGAAGCAGCTAAAAATGTTAAACGGGTTATGGCCAAATGAAAATTGGGTTTCTGGGGACCGATCAATATTTTGAATGGTCGGAAAAATGAACGCCCTGATGGCAGTAGGTCTTTGGCTATTATAGTTTGTATGCTCATGTAATGAATCCAAAAACGACTGAAATTCGTAAAAACGTGTGGCACCATAGGAAATTAAATGGATCAAGCATTCGGTTTTTTTCTAATGAAATTTAGAACTGATCTAACTATGAAGGAATCGAACTCATAAATTTACCCTTGAAGGGTCACAGAGCAAACGGAAAGGTGGAGAGAATCTTCGGTTAAAGAAGACCATTGTTATTGAAAGAGGATGTCAAACAAAACATAGGAAATGATTACCAAGCGCTAAGCTTTTGTAATTTTTCTACTCCACACTGATACGAAACTCACGCCTTTTTAGGCTCACCACGGAAGGGAGGCAAGCACCGTAATTCCCAAAATGACGAAGAAAAGATTGCTAACCAAGGAATTATTTTTATACTACAGTTACTTTTTTCATTTTACTTCTACAAATTATTAAATCGCTAATTTAACGAAGGAAATTAGGCTGAATGAATGTACCTAACTAAAAACTACAACGTTTACATGAAACAAACGGACGCCCAGAAAATGGAGAAAAGTGTAGCCACGCAAAATAGGAAATCGCCAAGATTGTTGGACGACAAGGAATTTGCGAATGAAAAAATCGAATTAACGCATCCAAACATATTATTTTTTTTGAAAAGCCATAAGCCGAGCACTACAGTGGTCTACCAGCAAACATGGGCGGTTGACTCGAAGGACTTACGAAGGTTTAAAAAGATAACTACTAAAACTCAACTACTAAAAATCAACTCCATATACGGTCCAAATGAAAAAAGGAAACTTAGGTGGTTTGCTAAAGATAAAAGGCGATAGATGTGGACTAACGGGGGATATATCGATACGAGCACCCCAAGCACAAGTTTGAAAAACGGAGAGACAAAGGCGAGTATATCAAAAGAACGGAGCAAACCCCTGAAAAGTGGGGCAGACAGCCTACCAGTCGGAGCGAAAAAACTGAAACGGAAAATCTGTAGGAAAGCAAAGCGAAACTGAAAAATAAAAGGCTGAAAAAGCAACAAACAAAACGAAAAATTTGGAATTCGAGTA